GGCTGGCAAAAATACAGCGACCTCGATGGTCAGAATGAAGCTTCGAGGCATATCTGATGCGTAGCATACTATATCGACATTGAAGAAATATTGCTAGCAATGTATACTCTAGAGAATTAATCTGGCTTCTACACGACAGCCCCCGCTGGCCTTGCCCTTTTGTCCCAGGCCATAGCCTCGGCTAACACCCCTTTGGAAGAGTGGGTAGGATTTTGGGAGTGGGTTTCCGGACTTCCGAAACTGTCGGGTCCCTTCGTCTAGGTTGCTGAGGCTGCTCACATGGATTGATTTCTGTGCAGGTGGCGGTCGGCTTCCTCGAAGCCTGCGCCCCTTGCGGAGCGTTCCTGTTATTTGTTTCGATCTGTTCTGGGTACCGATAAACAGGGCGATTATGTCCACGGATGGGTCCTCTCAGCATGCAACACAGAAAAGTAAGTCATGCTGCACAAAACATGTGCTGGCCTGCACAGGTATGGAATGGAACGAATTCCTATTCGAAAAACAAATCCAAGAGAATGTATGATCACCAAATGCTACAAGTCAGTATGTTCTGTTAGCACCTCACGGTTTTCTTTACTAATGGTCTCGAACGGAGGGGTCTGTAATACTGGAATTTGGAAACATGTTCCGAACCTATGGATCAGGGTCTGGATCGGAATGTCTGTTTCCCCATGTTCTGGACCAATCGTATTGAGCAAATCTTGAAAGGGGCTGTTTAGTGTTGTAAGGAGGTGGAATTCCTTCAGGAACTCACACTTCCAAATCTAGTGTTGAGGTCACATGCCTCGGCAGATTTGACAACCATAATAGAACTTCTGTTCTTCTGATGTTGTTTTGCACCGGGCTACGTTTCAAAGACGTGGCGGTGTAACAGTCTTTGAAGCTAAGGTACTTGCAGCCTATTGCTTTTGAGTTGAGACAACCCTTCCACAGCCCTATACGTCCGAAACGCTGCTTACTCCTTTTTAACCACTTCACCACAAAAAAGTGCAAGGCGATAGCAAGCATGCTGTTGCACCTCTGTAGCCCACCAGAAGCCTGAACCCCTTTCCCTGATCCCAAACCACATTCCCTGTGCTTCTTGACATCCTTCTCCTCCTTATCTTCATCCTTGTCTCCAACTCTGCCATGCTAAGCCCCCGACGATGCAGGACTGAGTCAAACACCTCAGACCTAGGTAAAACAAGTTTGGGTAAATTTTTTCTGGTTTAGAATAGCTTGCGTTGAAGCTGGGATGGAAATCTAGTTCAGCCGTGGCTGTAAGAAGTTGCGTGGCTCGGGCATGAAACCAAATTCGTGGCCCGCATTTCGCGTGCACTACATGGTGACTCAAATGCCAAATACCCTGCTTGCAAGCTTGTCATGGTGGCCTGTTCAAGGACCCATCTCACCCGGAAACGCAAGCCCGGTGACCTGTCCCGAGATCCCGGAAAAGGTAAGCTGCCTTCGCCTCTAATACCTAGCTGGCAGGCTTTCCTTTGGCACCATCCCCATTTAGGGCAGCCACTCTGTGCGCTCTGGGCGCCTTCTGGCTAGCGGCGATCGGTACAAGAGTGACGTGGATGGCCGCTAGACACAAATGACAGAAGCATGCACTCAGTAGAGATGATTGAAGCCTTTCTCCATTGAATTACCATCATGGCTACTATGCTTTCTTGCTTCAGGGCGGGTTTGATATTCATTCAGGCACAACAAGTCTAAGAAGCTTATCAGAGGCTTAGTCAGTATTAAATATTAGTGCAAACCCAAAGGCCCTCAGACCGCGCAGATTCCACTCAGGAGTTGGAAGGATGATTTGGGCCGCTGGCTCTGTTACACAGTCTGATTCTGCGTCCTAAATCTATTCTCGACCCTACAGAAACAAACGCATCCGAACCCTTTAGCTGAAACCCTGCAAGGGCCGCAAAATCCTAAGCTATAAGATCCCAACATCCTAGACCCAAGGCCATAAATAAAGTCCACCTGAATGGCACCCTTACAACTACCCTACAGAAGCAGCTCAAATCTCTGTCGTTATGTCCCAAGCGGCTCCAGGATGCCTAGCAAGGGCTCGTCCCGGCTGACCAACGCTGAGGTGCGGGGAGTCTCTGTAGGGAGCACTGGGCACCTGAAAACGGCAAAGGGCTTCGAGGTGCACATAGCATTCTAAAGTTATGCATGTTCTGGTTTTGTGGCTTACTCAAGGTGTGGGAGTTTCTTCAGGGCTTTGGGCCTAAAGGCCTACAGCAGGACAGCATTTTGGGTCATGCTCTGCCAGGCGCGCATCTCATCTTTTCTTTTCACTTTTTTTTTCACAGAAGGACCAAAATGCCTCCACGAAATTCACACAGGATGCATGTGTGGATCCTTTAGAGAGCCTGGGCAATTGTATGCCTGGAGAATGCAAAGTAAGAAAGTTTTTAAGCATCTGCTTCATTACCGGCAGGCGGACCATAGCAAGATTCCTGCCAACAAGTGCAACATTTCCTGGCAAAGCCTGCTACTTTTCCAATGGCAGCGTGGGGCCACCAAACTCACTCTGGCAACTTCCTTTATGAACTTCAGCGTAAAGTCCGAGAGGCTGCAGCACCACACGTGCTAAATGAATGTAGAAACACGCTTTCACCATTACCCGCATGCCGACCCGCCTGCGGGACTGCAACAAAATCGCCTGACTCGTAATGTTGCTTCGGGGACAACCTCACAGAACCTGACATGGTTGCCAAAAGCCCTCTGATCCACTATGAAACTATAAAGCGGAACTGTAGGAGGTCGATCCCTTACAGCGATGGCATCCTGCTGTTCGAGTTCGAGGCGCTAATATCTAAAGCCAGCCCATCACAGCATGGGGGACGACAGTGGGCTGTTTCGTTTCCAAAAGTACACAAAGTAACCGTTGGCTGTTTCAATTATTCAACGGGGCGAGGGCACGATGCAATCTGAACAAACTGACCGTGCAAATGGATCTGAACACTACACATTCGAAAAGTGTGGACTTGGGATTGAAGCGTCTACGGTTCCTCAAGAATCCCAGACGCTTTTTGACTTGCTACCTACTAAACACGACCGAAAGCTCTGAAATTTCAAGAAGCTAAACCCCCTGACTTGAAAACAGCTCCTTCCTGAGACTCAATATCCTTGTATTAGCCTGTTGAGTAGGGCTTTTTTGCCTGACAGGGGAGGATGTAGAGGCCCGCCTTGGCAAGTTTTGCTGTTGACAACGAGAAGCAGAACGTTGTTCTAGGAGTCGCCTCTCTAAACGCAATGAACGCGCTGTCTCAAGCCTCAATCTAGGGCAAAGTATGGATCACGCAAAAGCGCCCTTGATGTCGAGCTCCTAAATACCCGTGCAAGTCCCAACAGTCCCTCAAAACAAACCAGGCGCCCGTGCTAAGTGTCCATGATGTTCACTGAGCTGATCCCTGAAGGTTTGACTTCACCTAGGTTGCCCTTCCTGGAAGTCATGCCATCCGAGTTGCAGGGGAAGTGGAGTTGCCCATGCTTCGCCAGTCAAGTCCTGGTTTGGGGTGCGAGGTAATTTGAAAGAATTCTATCCAGTTTTTGGGGACCGAAATCTTCCAGCTGTCTGTGCCGGGGATAGGATTGGGATCATTAGGAGGACTGTATAGTGCAGTAAGATGATGCAGGGCTTCAGATTTAGAGCCGACAGACTCATGAATTCCAAGCCTCCAGCTCGGCCGGGGCAATGTGCCTTACTCGGAAGTTCATTCATGTGTGCTTTTAAACGGCAGCATAGGGATTGTGCAGGTGGATGTGTGGGTAGAAAAGACAATTTAGGAAACGCTTACATTGGGGTTTTGTTAACCCAGCTTGTAACTGGCCATGCAACTCCCAAGCTTGGCAATGCATGCAAACCCAAGCCTCTTTATACTTCTATCGAGGTTCTTTAAAAGGGAAATCCAATTGAACACCCCATTTTCCGTATCCCACGGTCTTCTGATTGCCCGGCCCATTCGAGCGGTGAAGCAGCCTACTTCTCAGCAATCTGGATCTGTAATTTCAAGCCTCGCCATCCTCAACCCTGCCACCCTGACGGGGAGCCATGCTTTGCGTCCAAACGCTGCGTCCCTGCAGCCACTTGTCGCACTCACAAAAAGCATGAACCTCTTTTGAACTCCTTCTATGGCAAGCAATACCAGGCCTGACAGAATTTTGGGCAAAAACCATTTCCAACTTCATCAGGACATTCTGAGCAGCAGATGCGCAGCAGAAATTGTAGGGTGACAAGGTGTTTCGCGGATCCCCATGCCTGACCTTCCCGTCAGCCTGCGAACCCTAGTTCCGTCGGTTGCTCATGCGGGGGATTGTGCAATGGCCGTCGCAGATGCCAGCTTTGCGGCGAAGCTAGATATCAGAATAACAGTTAAACACCTCAGCAGACTTTTTTTTTTCGTACTGTTAGTCATACCAGTACTTGTTGAAGCTTTGCTCAGCCTCCTACAGTGCGTAATAACGGCAGAATACCTGCAGATGGACCTGACCAATTCCCAAGAAAGGTTCTTATCAGACCCAGATGCAGCTGATCCCAAGCTGCCGTCTCGTCATAGCTGAGCGCCTGGTGCCAAGGACTTGTTGCACTACGCCTGGAGGCTCGGACTTAGAACACATTTCGCTAAGTCCTTTCCTTGGCCAGCTATACATATTCATAGCTGGTCACAAGTACTCATGTATTCGCTGGTTCAAAGTCAATCACCCAAACTGGGTCGCGAGGAGCATTTAAGGTACGGAGCTGCCTTGTCTCCAAAATACAAGGCTGGCACACCTGCTTGACCTACATCGATGCCTCCTGTAAGATTCCCATGGCATACATGCTAGCGCCAGCCTAGCACTCTGCAGGCACCACACTGATGATGTGCTGTATCGTCGTGGGGGCTGCCTCATAGCCCAGACGAAAGTTCAATTCGATCTACAGGTCTGTGTCTGCCACGCTCATGATTTGCTGCCAGTTCTTTGGACCGCTGGCCATATAAGTTCAGACCAGCCCCCACGCAGATCTGCAATGCTCAGACACCAGTAGCTGCCATGCAAATAGCACTGCTCAGACATTAAAGAATCGTGTGCCTTTCTAAGCCTTTTGATTCAAATTCTGTTATCCATCCAAAAGCCTTTATCTGCCAAAATGGGCTCTAACTGGAGAGACATGGGTCACTGGGTTCGCCTAGGGTTGTAAATTGTGTTGTTGCTGGTGTTGTTGCTGTCGTATCCCCAAACCGGACATGCTCCAAGTCCGAGCCTCAAAGCCGTCACACCCATTGCCCCACATCCTGCTTAAACACTGACTCTGACGCGTGACGTTCCAAACCAAAAGGTCTGAACCGAAACATGGCCCCTGATCCACATCCTAACTTGTGAGCTTCCTACGCTGAAGCCTGAAATCATGACCGTACTCAACTCCGGACCGTCTGGACCCCTTCTTGGCCTGTGTTTGGCCAGGCTTGGGACTCATGCAGGGCAGCCCCCTCAAGCCTAAGAAGCTGAAGTAGTCTCCTTGGCTCGCCGGGCCCTTTTTTGCAGGGGTCTTGAGGTTTTCGGGCTCTGTCGGCCAGAGACCCCCTGAAGGATCACAAGCAAGATCCTTCCGATCGTTCCACTTTCCCCAATATCATGCTAGGCACTAGGGCTGAGGTTCTGGGCATTATCTAAGGAATTTACCATGCAGATTTTCCAAATCAATTTCAAGGTCTTCCGTTGCCCGCAAAGGGTCGGTCTTCTAGCCTAAGGGCTCGAAAGCTGAGGGGATTGGGGAATTACGTTTACAGCTCGGGGGGATGCCCAACCTTCAGACCTTCACTGCGGACCCAAAAACCGAATTGCGCACTGAACCGTACTGACAGTCCCTAAACCCCAACCCCACATCTTAAACTTGGAAAGACTAAAACCTTGCGGCCTTTGAGCCAAAGTTTCTGGTGGAGATGCTGAAGGCATCACAGCAGGCAGCCAAGAAGTTCACGGTGTACGTCTGCATGTTTAGGGAAACAGGGATTAGGATCATGGCTTTGGTTAAGGGTTGTTTCAAACGTAGAAGCAGGAAAGAGCCAGGCCATAGTTTGTAGACGTGGGTCGGCATGCGCGATTTACATCTGTTAGTCATATATATATATATGACCCCTCTTGCTCCTCCCTGCCCAAAATGTTCACGTGGGTCTAATGAACATCATGCAACAGGTCTGGGCGGCGTCCTGCGGGGTGTTAAAACCCTTGCAACAAGCTGTTATCCGACATGATCCTCATACTATTAGGAAAGAGAGACCTCTACAATGCCTCATGATCCCCATGCATTCTTGGGGTCCCAAGTTGTTTGACCATGGACCCTGCTTGGGTAGTCCAGATATCAGGGGCTGCCAAGTCCTTAAGTGGGATTTTGTTCGGTTTCTCTGCATTGATGCTTTCAACGCATCGTCTACGGCAATCGCAGGTTCACAGATTCAGGCGTCTAGAGCAGGAAGATCACTCAAAAGACAGCATAAGGCAGAATGCTACGTTGAGCCAATCCTGTAACATTTGCATTCAAGTGCACGTTTGAGGTCCAAGGCTCGGGCCATGGGCCGGCCCGTTACCTGATGCGTCAAAACCTGATATCTGTACCCCTCTGGCTTCAGAGGATGCTGGCTGACCTCATGCGGACGCCTGACAGTCACTGTGCTTGAGCAGCCCTCGCATGAACGTCAAATGGGGCACTACAAAGACCTCCAGCACTTCTTACAAGAAAGCTCGCTGTCACAGAGTAAAACGGAATAGAATGTAAGTCACCCACATCATGTTTGAAGGCCACGGGTTCGCTGCAACCTGAAGATTCAAAACCCTAAGCCCTACAAACCCAGCTTTGAGCATCCCTGAACCCTGGTGAGCAAGCATATGAATTCTTCAACTTCCCATGACATGACGCTGCCTTTTCAAAGTCTTCGGGCTCCATCTGACAGAGGACCCGAAAGAAGTAAGCGGTGTCTACTGCCAGACCAGCAGCAAGGACCTGTCATACCAAAGAAGGAGACGAGGAAGTTGAAGTGTTTCTAGTAACCGGAAGCCAGCATCATACTGCAAACTGGCAGAAGAAGTGTGCCAACTGTAGGAGTATCAGTAGTACACTACCGCAATCACTTGAAGATGTACCGCAATAACTTGAAGATGTGCCTTCTCTGCCAACTTTGCTCACTTTCCCTCTGGGGCCTGCAAACAATCCATTTTTATGATAGCTCAGAGGTAGGTGCTCAACCCTCAGTAGCCACTACTCAAAGAGCAAGGAACAGTGGAGGCTTTCAATACCACCGAGTTAGCGATTGCCGCTTCCCAAACCGCGACGGATGAAAAACAGGCACAATGGGTGACCTCCGGATCCTAATACCTTTCTGCAAGAAGTTGCTTTTAACACACATGACTTCCCATGCGCAAGTCTTCCACTCCTTTACACCCCAGATCGGGAAATGGTGGTGCGGGCTGCCTGTAAATCCCGAAGCCTAAATGTCCCCATAGAACCCTACATACCTTCAAGCCCACAGCCACTGGTTCATGAGCTTCGCTTTTTGCGAGGCACATGGCGGAAGCAGCGGCTGAGGTAGACCTGGTGGAAACAACAGCTCAGGATATATAGGCATAAGGGAAGGGTCCCTTTCAAGGGTTTGTACCACCTGCAAACTCTAATCCAAACACCTTGAACACTTCAGCCTAAATTCCTGAACAACAGACCCCAAAATCCGGAGGCCCTCCATTTAGCGGCCTTTAACTCGTGCTTTAGTACCATCGTGTTTGGTAGTCTCGAAACCATGAAACCCATTGGCCTCAAACCTGAGTGAGACCTTGCACCCTCGGGCTGTACAAAACGCGTGCAACAACACATCAGAAGCCATGCGCAGTAAAGGGCACTGTTGCCGTAACAACAACAAGTCCTGTGCGGACCTTCGGCTTCGACAGGAAAGCTGTCTTGGGCTTTGACTTGGCTCCCGTGACAGGATCTCTGAGTCTACAAAGGAACCTGTACGAGGTCCCCAGGCCTTTAAACTCAAGGCTATGAAGTCCCCAAAAATCCAGTCCCTGAAGCTAAATGCGGCTGCACCCTCTAAATCCTGAGTCTGAATGCTTACCCCTACAGGCTATAGAAACCCTAAGCTCATACTTGAACCTCAAATCCCCAAACCCCGATTCCCCTTCCCCAGCCTCACCCCGTTCTGGTTCCCGGTTCGGATCCGCCAGCAGCCTCTGGTAGTGCTGGATCTTCTCGACCTGGAGCTGCATTCGTGCGGGCTTTGCAGGTTTGTGTGTGAATGTTTCCGTGGAAAACACAACCATGAACAAGAATAATACTTGTGATGACTAGTTGGGGAATTAGTGTGAGGGGTTCAAAAGATCGAGTACCCTCTTGTGATCGCTGGCATTGTATGAAATTAATGAACTTCTCAGACAATGGAAATAGGTGTTTGCGCTTACTTGTCAGGAACTTCTCTGACGTATTCTTCCTGTAGCTGGCATAGTGCTGAGTTCAGCAATGTTGACATTGAAATCGCGAGAAAGCTTTTCTCCTAATGCTCGTCTTTCATCGACAAAAATCTTACGATTCCTAGGATCTTGCCAAGCCCAACTGAAAATCCCTCAAATTCCCTGCGAACTCCGACCGCTAATTTCTGAGGCCTGGCCCTAGCTGAAAAGCATCGAACCTTCCCTGCGGAACCCTGAGCAGTAAATCCCATACCGATACCACCCCCACCTGGGCCATGTAGATAGAGTGGGCCTCCTGCCGCTTTCTCTCCACGTGCACTCGATGTGGCTTCCTTTGGTCGGTCTGTTGTGTCTGATATCGCTGGCAAGGTTTAGGCCCAAAGCTTTGTGAGCGTAGCTAAGCAGATGCAAGGAAGCGAGTGTGGGTTCCTGATTCTTTACATTTATGTGCTTGAAGATCCGCGCAAACTAGGGGTAGATGGCTTCGGGGTCCACAGGTTGGAGTTTGGGGCTTAACATTTGAGATGAGGATGGTTCCTCCTAAGACCTGTCCCAGCCTGTGCCACCTGAATTGTGGGGGCTATTCAAGATTCTCCGAAGGCCAAAACGATTCATAAAGCCAGCGGGCTTTCTGCACATTCTGCACCTGTCAGTGTAGGGTGTAGGCGTCCGCATGTGCATTACACACAAAATCTGGCACTTCCATGCGGCAATAAACTCAGGTATGACATTGTTTGAGGCTTGGTTAGAGCTCTGAAGCTAGAACAATGTCAGCAAAGTATTTTTTGCGAAATCTGCAAGGATTTTTCTCATGCTCAACATTGGGGACCCCTTACATAACCCCCCCAAAAGAATCGATTTCTTACTCAAGCCAACAGTTCACTTTACTGCCGGAGTTTGTTTTAAGAAAGCTAAAATCTACCTGGACTTCTACTGCTTGATGATAGAATTTTACGCACAACGTGGTTTTTGCATGAAAATGCGCCTGACTTTCTAGATGTTGGAATGCGTGGTTTCCTACACGCATGCTAGAGTTGTATGCACAACGTGTGTTTTCGGCGGGGCCCGCATGGTGGGGCTTATGTACATGTGGCACTGTGTTAACTGAGCAGAAAGCTCACCTGTTCAGGCAGCCTCAAGGCGGCGCATAGTTTGGCCCTTGAGAAGGCCTGTGTAGTTAAGCTTGTTCAGAATTTGATAGCATCCCAGATCTGAACGCGATTGTGAGGGGTCTAGGGTTCCACGTGCTTCCTGGGATACATTGAAAAAGCCTTGGTATGTGTCAGTGAAGCACTAACAAGCGGAAAAGTTCTGCAGAATCTGGACCTCTCGGAAAATCCTTGCTATCTTTCAACCTGTAAAACATCCGATGCTTCGTCAAAGGCTCAGGTAATGAAGCACGGAGAGGTTAGTCGCATTCTCCGAGGTTGATTGCGGCTGGCCGATGACACTGGGCAATATTGACTGCTCCTTGCAGGATTTCGTTTACGATTGAGGGGACAGAGCACTGTGATTACTCAGGCCAAAAAAAACAATTGCGTCATTGCAACAGGCGGAGTGGTATGGGATCAGTAGGACCGGTCTTGGAAGTCCCTTTGCCCAAGATAAGGGCAACCGTGGGGACAACCACAAGGCTGCTGAACAACATGCAGGCCACCAAAACGATCGGTAGCGGCAAGGCAAGTTGTCCTTGAAAGAATAAGATTTCCCCTACCCATCAGCCAGGGGAAGACTGGTGAAAAGGAACGCAACCAGCGTCGTCTCTAGCTACATAGCAATTCCCGCAGCGGTCTTAAACATCAGCTCATGAGGGATCCATGGCATCACACCGATTTCTGTTATGACAGGTGAAAGAAACCCTTTCTCGATACGTGCTCTCATGCTGACCACAATCACGAGCTTTGCATAGTTTTCAGGGCATGGTATACGAAATTTGAACTGCTTGAAAGGGAGCTGCTAACATTGTTGACATGAGAGGTCCGCTTGTCTTTGGAAAATAATGGGCGTAATACGAATGTCCAACAATCAAGGGCCTTATCGCGGAGAGCCTCCAAGAATGGTTCAACAGTTTTGGAAGCCCCCTCCGAAGCCGCATGACCCTGCTCAATTTCTGAATCTTTCCATGAAGTGGTTGTGCGGTCCTTCATCTGCTGAATCTCTGTGTGGTCGTACTGGATGCGCTTGACCCTCCTGGGCCAGGCATATACCTCAAATAATGAGTCATACAAACATTCATATAGGAACTCCCAAGTGGGGATGTGGGTCTGTGTCACAAGGATGGTCTTCTCCTATGTACTCACCAACCTCCATTCAACAGGACTAGATCCCTATCGGGCCACGGCCGTGGGAGTTCGGAGCTTGCCTTTGCTCAAACGAGCATTGAACTGCGATTAGGTTTTTGTAGGGTCCTTTTCGGGGTGTTTTGTTAATTATATATATATATATAGAAAGACGGGAACGCAGGTACTTTTGGAGAACACGAAATTTAGACTTGCAAACGTGGACAATGCTGTAGATTCAGGACAACCTCAGGGACCACCACGTGGAGGATTATGCGCTCCAAGATACGGTGCGTTACAAACATCAACCCAAAACACACACGGGCACACGCCGGGAAAGCCACGAAGGCACGTCACATCCAAGCTCAAGAACTATGCCAACTCATGCCAGCAGAATCTTTGGACTTGCCAACTGAGTTGCAGCTTCATGACTCTCTATCTCTCTGCAGCGAATGCACATCCGCTATATACATGCAGGTACGTGGTCAAGGTGTCCTCTGACCATATTCTGAAACAAGATCTCGAGCTTCATTGCACCGGGCCAGATCAAGTGTCCCTGGTGCCCCCGCTTGTTGGAAATCCCGTGTGGACGTGGGTGTCCCCACGCACACACTTATCAAAACAGCGCATTTGCTTGCATCCTGTTGGAGCACTTGTGCAAATAGGGACTAGCTGGACTAGCCCGACCCAATAGAGCCCTAGCCACATGTGTTTTCTCAACGAAGGGTTCCCAGACCTTTTTGCTGAAGTAAGTGTCCGCAACTTTCAGCGACGCTCGAAGCGATACACCCCAAAGCCTGAATTGCCATAAATGCAGCGGACAAGTTCTCACACGTAGTTGAAATTGGCCCACTGTCCTCTGGAGCCGCTCGCTGAGGTTTCCCTGTCGACGCACGAAAGCCTCAACTGCGACAGTCTGCGGTCTAGGGCTCGGGCCTTAGGAGTCTTTGGGCTGCAGGGTTTGGCGGTCGGCACCGTACAAACTTGTTGTCACCAACATCCGCAGCGAAGCCAAAAACAGGTTGCCTTCACCTGACGCCTAGGCGTCAAAGCAGCATCTGTTGTCGCCCAGAAGCACGCTGAAGGCTTATTTGCTTTTGTTCGGGGCTGCAAAACCGCGTCAGTTGTTGCGTCTTGTCACCAAAAATCACCGTGAAAGCACGAAAAAGGTTGCCCTCAGTACACCACATTTTGGATCAACTGCAACCTTCACCCGATCTTCGAGCGCGCGAAGCTTGATTTTGATTGACCAACAGCCACGGTCAAGGCAAGAGCGGTTTGCCTTCACCCGACCTTTGGGAAAAACCATGGTCGGGCCCCGCAACTTTGGTGAACACAAGAGCGGGTTGCTCTTCTTGCATTATCAAATACTTTTCGAAGAACGTGACAAGGATCCCCCACTCTGGGAGGCCCCTGAACCAGAATCTCTAAACACGTGCACAGCCCTTGATGGGTGTCCCTCTTAATTACGAGATGCCTCAAACCAGGACAACCAGCGGAATGGTGCCCATCTCCGCATTCGGTCGGCTTTGCTTCACTACATGGCCGCAGTACTCAGGAATCGCCCCTTGTACATTGGCAAGGTCCCTGCGCTCAGAACCTGGCAAAGGATACCCTTCTTAGCAAAATCGCCAGCATTTTTAAATCTCCTGGCAAGCAGCTGTATGGAAGCGATGTGCTCGCTTCTCACACTTCTCAAAGACAGATGTGACAGTCTTCACCACCTGGAAGCTTTCTGACTTTGGGTTAAGAGGTGGAGTGTTGGGCAGTGTCACGGAGGGACTTAGAGTGGAGGATCTTAGGGGTTTAGGGCTCAGGGGTTTAGAGTTTAGAGTTGACCTTTTGAAAGGTGCTTTTTTCTCGAAAGGTCTTTATATAGGCATTTCATGCGCGGAGCCCGTGGCCTCGATTTGTAGGAAACCACCGGCTTCATACCAGTCTGACGGCTTCTCATAGAGCACAACATTGGAAACAGCACAAAAATCCACAGGCATCAAGAACCCAATGGAAAAAATAGCTGGCAATGCGGAAAAATCCAAGAGCTCAAGCCGCAATGCTATTCACGCACTTTAGGTGTCGCGCAAGTGATGGATGCTTATGAGTACTGCACCTGCCTACGAGATCCCTTGGGAAACACATGTACTTCCTTGAAACTCATGCACATTCTTTTCACTACCATGAAAGCAGTCCAGATCATGCGGGGCACCCCGAAGCCCTCCAACGCAGTGCAAGACACTGACAGCCTTGTCTAAGCCCCAGAAGCACAAAAAAGAAAAGAGCACCGAAACTACAATGTTTAAAGCAGTGGCCCAAAGAGCTCTTCACTCCAACATCCATCCTTCCACCTCGACTTTAAGGGGACCCGCCTCCTGCATATGGCTCTGAGCTGCTTTTTCATGCCTGTGCTGTCTGCTTCTACAATGACACTCAAGGTTTTGGCTTTACGCAAAGACCGGGTGCAAGGCTCTAAAACGTTGCATACTAACGCGGAATTGCAAGTCGACAAGTACAAGGACTTCGACAAGAGACGGGGGCTGTTCATTCTGCCACAGTGGCCACTGCTCAAGAGACGGTATCATGCCCACATTTGGCTGTCTTTGCTTTCTCATCCATCCTTCAACGTTTAATGCAATGGATTGCAGTCATTGCCTGTCTTGCTTCAAGCATGCGGTGGGGGAAAGAGAATCGGAGGCCGCTAGTGGCTGAGTTTGTCTTCACTTGCAGCCCTCATTTCCCCGTATATCTGTTCCATAGTAGCGAAGTAAGAAAAGAATGGTCCGTCAACGGTCTTCTGTCTCATCAAGCAATTCAGCATCCATGATTGTCAGCAGCAAGCCAGCCCCCCATGGCCGATTTGCAGGAGTGTGCGCACCTGGCTCATGGGCCATCCCACAGCTGGAGGGCATGTGCAATACTTGTTGTGTACTCTCCCTGTACATGCATATAGAACACCATATGGATACGCAGTCTGCACATGTCACCATGTACGCTTCAAATCACAACGGAACTTAAAGTCTTTAATCTAGCTACTAAAGCAAGGAAGTTTTTTGACAACGGCTATTGCAATTGAAGCTTGGCTGCGAGCCCTTCTTGGCCCACAACATACACTGGTCAGGTTCAGCTAGTCTAGCTGAAGCCATCCCTGAGATTCAGAACCACCCGGACAAGGGAAAGCCTCCTGAAAACTGTGGACAGCACCAAGGTACCTCTGCGCAGATCCATTCTCAGGAACCCCCTGCCAAGAAGGCGTCCAAGACCCTCGTCCTAAACCGTGAGCATGTAAACACCACACCCTAAACCCCGGCAAGATGCTTCTCAATAGCAGTGTCGGGTGAGATCGCTTGCAGGGCCCGTGAGTGCTCCTTAGTTGTACAGCCCTAAGCGTTCATCAGGAAAGCAGCCAGTCTTGTTTGCAAGTCAGATATCGAAGGTTCCCCATGATACCCTCAGTACAGAAATACTTCATGCCAGAGCAGTTCACCTTCAACATGAGAGAGCGGTGAGCAGACTGTCCAGAGTTTGGAATGATGATCATGAGAGTTGTTCGTGGCTTTTCCGAATGATGATCATGGTAGCTTGAATAATTTCACTTCCCAATTTAAAGCCATTTTGGTACTATCCCCTATATAAACCACCATTTAGGGTGAGGTCGGGTGAGGTCGCTTTAAAATTGCCTAGATGATAATGCCATGATCATGCAACCTTCACACTCCTCACTCTTTTCGTCCTAAGCCATAAGCTCAAGCTCGAGCCTTCCTCAATGATCTGCACAAGAGTCTGTAGAACCCTCTCCTTTTGGCCCCTCAATCTTTGCCAGCCAGTAATGCTGGAATCTGGATTTGGGGATCTGGCCTCCAAGAAGGGAAATGCAGCCACAAGAAGTTTGTGCATCTTGAGCTCCAGGCTTACGCGGAGGCAAGAAGCCAACTTAACAGAAAGTATAGTAGGGAGTTGTTGTAGATGCACGGGCGGATCACCCCATCTGTCATTGCTCACTTGGCCCAAGACGCCACCACTCTCTGATGTGCTTGCATCCACTTCCAGGGTGCAGGCGTGATGATACTGAGAGTACTGCTTTCGAAGGATGTAGCTCTCGTTGAAAGCTGTGCGAAGGGCTAGGGTGAAGAGAATTCCCTTCTTGCTCCATTGTGTGTAGAGCTTAAGTGAGCAGCTCACATAATCGGTGAAGCCGGTACAGTAACAGAGAGAAGAGCAACCGTAGTTGGAAAAGCGGCTTCAACTGTTTTGAGATGCCATGATCAATAGCAATTTGTATCTGCCATCCGCTTTGATGTAGTAGTCCCAACTACACCTGTATTTCGAAATATACTCACGAGCCAGAATCTCCACAAGCCCGAAGCACGTCTCACTCCCCGACTACGAGGATTTCCAAACGATAACACAGATCCTGGATCCGCCAAGAAAGCAGGTTTCTGGTAAATTGCTGGAACCTTAAGCGCGCTTGTCCCCGGCTCTCTGAGCTCAATAAGCGGAGGCTCCACAACGCGGCGCAGCTTCTTACTGCGAACCACGTTCTTATCCTGCCTGTTGCTGGTTGGAGGCTTTGGAGGTTCAATGATGCGGGTGACCAGCGGTGACCAGGGTTCGGTGGGGTCTATAGCGATGTTTATGGGCGAAGTAAGGACATCTAGTGTGGGGCTTGGGGTAAAGGGGCTTTCATGAAATGTGTGATTTTGCGTGTGGGAGCCTTAAGTAATCCAACGCACACTGTGACAAGAATGCCCCTACTCATAACCCCCACATATCACCCATGAACTTCAAGTAGAAGTTCAAGGCTTGACCCTTGAGATGTGTGGAGTGAGTTTTGGATAGATGGCAACTTTTCGCCCTTACTACGACAAGGACAAAGCGATTCATATTCACATCTAGTATGCAATCTTATAATATCATGCACTCCCGAGCAAGGCGCCTCTGTCAAACACCCTGACTCATCATCCCGAAAGCTATGTCCCTACAGCTTCAACTTCAACGTTCACCGCACTCTCACCCTCTGGCTGCAGTTCTTGAAGGATTTACTGCACACACGAGTGCAACTAGACTCATCGAACCATTTTACCTCGAATTTGAGGGCTTCGTCGATCCCTCGCCTCGCTTGCAGGTCTGCCACTGAGAGCGCCAGCTTTGCTGAAGCCTTTCCTCAGGATCTGAGGCTTCAGGCTTCAAGGTTACGACTCTTGATTTTCGGCCTCAAGTTTGGAGTCTTTAGGGTATACATATATATGTTGCTGGTTTGAATAAGGGTTACAAATGGTAAGAAGGGCAAATCGGCCCAGAACTGCCAAAGGATCCCAAAATGGAACTAGAGAAACAAATGATTCGTAGGTTCGACATCAGGATTGTTAGGGGGATTCTCAGGATGATGGGGGGGAAGAGGTCTCGCGCTGAACTCTGATCCGCACTGAACTGACGATCTAAGGAATGCATTTTCTGAATCCTTTGAGGTTGAAGGCAGGGTGGGAATCAATGGCGGGGCTTGATTTTAAGGAATCAGGAATGAAAGTAAAAGGGATTCCTGTACGCTGGGGTTTTATTTGGAGTTGGGCTGAGGACAAGGGGGGAGGGGGCGAAGATTCCTGTTGTTGCCTTTAGCCTTTGCTTCGTCGCCTTTTAATCCAAGAGCTTGGGATTCACCCGGCTTGCGGCTAAGGCAGGATCGAAGTCAGCGAGTGGGCGACCCATCAAGGGCTTACGGTGAAAGGCAGATTTTGGCTCGGATGCTTAGGGTTAGCAAGTGGACGCTCCGCGAAGATCATGTTTGGGGATAAAAGAGCATCTGTGAAGGTTAAACTGGAACTACATCAAGTTTGCATTGAGGCTAGGCGGCGCTGACTTTCAGTCTGGCACACTCTCCAGAGATGATGGATGAACGGACGATGATGGATGGACATTTAGAGATATGTGGGGTAGTGTGCGTGGCGCATGAACGACTCCCACAAATCATCTCCACGTCAGCCCCAGATTCCCTCGTCGAAGGCCCCTCGGCGCCCGCGTCGGAGGTAGCCCAGCAGCCTTAGCTTCTGTCACCTTGTCAGCTGTGAACCCAAAACCATCACAAGCCTTCAAACATCAATCCAGCCCCGTAGCCTTACATCCGCTTCTAAGCCTTCAACTGTAAACCTCTAGATCCCAAGAAGCTTCTGTCCCTAGAGCCCCTCAACCCTGAACCCTCAAACATCCCAGCCCTAAAGCTGCAGCCCTAGACCATTGACCCTCCGCCAAGCAGCTTGGGTTCCAGAGCATGGAAGCCCTTCGTGGCGTCCACAACATCGTCCGTCAAGAGCTGCTTCACCTCCGCGACAGGTTTCCAATCAAGCGGGCTAAAACCTAACGTAATGAGGTTTTGGGGTGCAAAACTTCTATGGGCTAGATGAAGCGAAATGCTAACATTGGTGCAAGATGTTCCCATCCAGCCAAAGTGGAACTTCAAACCCACCAGCCATAGGCGCTCATCAAGAAGAGTTGCCGAAGCCTGTGATAGGACTGGGGCCTGCATCTCTACTTCCAAGATACAGGCTCTGTAACCTATCATTTATTGCAGACCAAAAATTGCTTCATGTAAACCCTGAACGCCCTGCAGCTCAGCCAGCAACTCCACACTGCGCCCCTACACTCTACAGAAGTTCTGTGCCCCAAGCCTTAAAGCCTTTAGCACCTAAACGCTCAAACCCAAACCCATGCACTTTTGAATCTCACTGTGCATCAAGTGTGCACGGAACAACCAAAGAGAGCAGAGGATGGCAACAGAGTAAATGCATGAACCAATGAGTGAGTGAGTGAGTGAGTGAGCGAGCGAGCGAGTGAGTGAGTGAGTGAGTGAGTGGAGCAAGCAAATGACTGCGGAAGGCCAGTCGCAAGACCACGCTTCTGTGCTTGCAAGTTCCAAGAGTACAATTCTATGGTTGGAGTGCGTGCGCACACGCATATACATGTGCTTGTACACCTGCAGGGTTTCCAGTTGACAGGTCTATATGTAGCTGCTTCCGCTTTCGCAAAGTTTCCAAACAAGGTCAAGCCAGGAACCCCAAACCAATCCGGGGCACAATCAAGACCGAATGGGTTGCAGCCGGAGACTGAGAACGTTTAACCTACGGTAGGAGGACCTGCCGCGATCCCGACAGCCTCACCTTGCCAGAGCCCACCCACCTCATCCCTACTGCGATACCCCGTCCGTGCCCCCTGTCCCACCGGAGAATCCTCTTGCACTCTTACTGCGACTTGCCCAATCCGTTGCCCAATCCTCGTGCACTCCCGCCTTACTTCTCCTGGTGCTGCCTCAAAAATGCGCATATATGCGCATTTGCCCCAAGACCCAGCATCATGAACGTCAGCGGGTCCTGCCTCCAAAGTGCGCCACCCCGGAGCGCATTTTGAACGCTGCTTGTCAGGAAGCCCCAGGAAGGCCCCAAGACCCAGCCAGCTTCATGAGCGATTTTGGACACTGCTTGCCAGGAATCCCCCAGGAAGGCTCCAAAATGCGCTACCCCGTCCCGGAGCACATTTTGAACGGTGCCCCCAGCAAGGCCCCAACACCCAGCATCATGAATAAACGTCCGCCGGTGAAGCTTCCAAAATGCCCTACCCCATCCCGGAACGCATTTTGAACGCTGCTTGCCAGGGAGGCAGGCCACAAGACCCAGCATCGTGAGCGTCAGCTGGCCCAGCTTCCAACCGCCTAAGCGCATTTTGGACACTGGAAGGCTCCAGGACCCAGCGTCATGAACGTCGGCCGGTCCTGCCTCCAAAATGCCCTACCACATCTCAGACGGGCCTTCTCGAACCCAACTTGAAGGCCTGCTCGAGCCCAACTTGAAATCATGATTTCACCGGAAGGGCCTTCTCGAGCCCAACTTGAAACAATGATTTC